CACATCCAACAACAATAGTGCCACCATCAACTTTTAATTTTGCTTAATTAAGCTTAATTTTGAATATGAAAAATGTGTGGACAAAATTTCCCTTCGGCACGTTCAAATGAGAATGCCTACGTCATCGTTCCTAGATTGCGCACATGTTCAAGGAAAAGTCTTATATTATACCGATTTTACGCGTGCAAATAAAGATATGCTTCTTTTTAACTAGAAGCTGTAGGCAGCGTTGACTGGGATACCTTGAAGGGGGAGTGGAGGACCTGGTTTCATCATGCATGGAGTATTTAGTTGGTTGAGCTTCCAGTAATACTGATAAAGTAGTACTGATAAATAACTCAATCTGGAATTCCAGTTCCGGCCCGGATTTTGACATACGTAATTAGGTTGTTGTTCGAGCATGTTTCATAAACGTGCACATTTGCACGGGAATTGTATAGCTCGCTTAAAACTCAAAATGCTTCATTTAAAACGTAAATACAGGCCAAGGGCACCAGGACACCGAATGTGGTTGGATTTCTATAGTTTTTTTTCTCCTTTCGATTATTTGAATTAAATTAACGTTATACTTGTTTGACTTATCTTGTGTCCGTGTTCCTTCGTTCGCTGTTGTAATGCAGACGTTTTCATTCCAAAGGTCAAACGGTTTGAATAGCCGATGAGCGTTACTTCTTTAACGGCCGTTCCGTACTTGACTCTGTTTGTACTATACCAACAACAACGCGACCGCGCGATGCTCCTTACGTCAGTAATATTCAACCGTCCAGAGTTAATATGGTTAATCAAATTCACCTTAAGTTCCATACAGTACTATAGTCAAATAGACACGAGAGAAACTAATGTGTATTAGTCTAATATCTATTTCACGGGTTTATCGATGTCCAGTAATTGAGTCTGAGAGACTAAGAGACTGAGAGTCTAATTGAGCGTTCCAGAGAGGGGACAATGTATAATGTATAGCTCTCATCAGTCTCTATAGCCCTTGTGATGTTGAACGGAGTGCTAAACCCGATCATCTATAGAGGCTCTGCACCATCACGTGATGGCAGCCATGACAGAAGGCATAACAATAGAGTCTTTTCCCCCCAGGAAACTGAATCCTTTCTTATGTGAATCAGATTAGACCAGAATCAATTGTTCCTGCCTCCTGTCATGGCTGCCATCACGTGATGGTGCAAAGCTTGAGGATAGACCTTTCCTAAATTCGCTTGACTGACCACGAAACCATGGTTTGAAGTCGAGACTGAACTTGATTCTTTTATTCATCAAGTCCAACCTCGACTTGAAACCATTGTTTTGTGATCAGTCAAGCGAATTCGGGAAAGGTCTATTGAAGACATTYACACCTTTGCAGTGATGTTACTGCGCGAGATGTGGATACCAGATGTTATCTAAGGTCATTTGCCGTTAAGACAATGCAAGAAACGTTCGTTTGAGATTGGTAATCTATTGAAACTAGTAGTTTCTGTGTTTCTTTTGTTAAATGGCACCAACGCTCCCTCGAAAGGCCACGATGACGTAACATGCAATCGAAGAATAGAGATATTTGCCCTTCCTTCTTCATCCAGTGATTGATCTTAAACTTTTCAAGTAAAAAAGGAAGAAAGATGGATACGAAGGAAAYCTTGTTGAGAGCCCTTGATGAAAATCTGTCAAAAGAGAGGAAAGTACGAAATAATAAAGCTTTTCATGTTTCAAGCGCAACTCTTGAGTACCTAACACAATTACCACACCTGTGTATCAGAAAAAAACTCATTCAAATCTTCAACCGGCTAGATCACGAAAACAGGCAGATCTAGGATTTTAAGTTGTGTAACCCCCGGATTATTGCTTTATAAATATTGCCGGTCACACATCTTATAGTATATAAAGAATAATTCATACTTTAAAAACTTAATGATTTAATAATAAAAATCAAAAAAAAATATCGTCACACATTTTATAGTTATGAAAATGATGAAAATCTAAAAAATGAATCTGCAAAGTCGAAACGAGTTCTTCAGATTTACATTATCATAAGAAAAACTCTTTTAATCTTCAACCGGCTAGTTATCACCAAAACAGGCAGATGTAGTATCTTGAGGTGTGTAACTTCCAGATTATTACTTTAAAAAATATCGTCACGTATCTTATAGTATATGGAAAATCTTTTTAAAAAATTATCATTGCCGGAAACAATAAAGATTCAAAAAACTTTGCTTTATTATCAAACACCACTGCCAGAGTCAAAAAAAAAAAAAAGAAAAAAAATTAAATGTCGGTAGGGATTCTTTTGGCTTACATTATCTATTGTGAATGCATTGTACTTCATTTTTTGACGTTTCTTCTCGATTAATTTTTTATTCTCATCTTGAATAAATGTCACTGATCTGATTGGCTGTTTCAGTGCTTAAGTAGTCTTCACACTCGATCACGTAGTTCATAAATGATCAATTTCCCAACGATATTTTGAAGACAGTGTCACGCGGACAACATGGTTGCCAACCTCACAGCAAGTAACAATCTAAGCTGCTCTCCATATTCCACGTACTTTCTTCACAAACCTCGTGATTTTCACTATGATGTATTTTTATTCTTAATCATTTCCATTAACGCTTTGATAGCCTCGATAGCCAGCTGCAGTAATGCTGTGGTCATTTACACCATTTCAAGAACACCTTCTCTACAAACCCCCTCCAATATTCTTATTATTGGTCTCGCCATCTCTGATCTGAGTGTTGGGATCTTTTCACAGCCTTCGTTTTGCTTATTCAAGTTTTCCGAGCTTCGTCGTAACCTTGATTTATATTGTTCCCTTGGTAACGTGTACACCTTCAGTACATTACCTCTTGCAGCAATATCTTTCTTAACACTGACTGCCATCACTGCTGATCGATTCCTGGCCGTACACCTTCACTTGCGATACCAAGACATCATCACAACCAAACGTGTTGGAATCACTCTTGGTTTCATCTGGATCCTTGGTGTGTGTTTTGCTGTTTATACTGGAATATTTCACGATAAAGTTGCGCTTCTAATTTTCAACAGCTGTTTCTTCGCAACTTTTCTCTCTCTAAACGTCTATTTCATCTTCAGGGTGTGTCTCGTAATTCGCAGACACTCATTGCAGATACAATCTCAACAGTTAGCCCAACAACCCATGAACATGACAAGTTTCAGAAAATCCGTAATAGTCATGTTTCTGGTGATTGGTGCGTTTATATTGTGTTATATTCCATTTGGTGCAATGAGGATGGTAGTTGGTGTGATAAGTGACGGCTCTTACGCAGTGCGCAGTGGGTTTATTATATCTGAGACCTTTGTGATGGTTAATGGAGTACTGAATCCGATCATCTATTGCTGGAGAATGGAAGGGATTCGCACCGCTGCAATGGTGTTAATGCGAAAGATGTGTACACAAAACTTGAACAACTAATTATATATACTGACTTCGTTGACTCAGATAATTGTTTCCTGCAATTTTTTCAAGCTTAGAATGAGGTTCCTATTAATCAAATAATTAATTATCTAATTAACTAACTATTCTTATAATGATTTTATTTTTTTGGTATTATTTGCGTTATAATTTCTTTTGGAATTATAGATGTCTGTCTGTCTTTTATAAACCTGCCTCGAACAGCTTTGAGCTACTTGAACTACTTAACTTACATGTTCAGTAAATGTGTAATTGTAATATGATTGATTTAATTCAATAAATGTCAAATGCTTATCCAATGGCTCGCTGAATCCAATTGTTTATTTCTGGAGAATTACTGAGCTACAAAACGCAGCTCAAGATTTGCTAGGATTTAAATAGGGCAGAGTTTTCTCGAGCGACAACTATCTTGTATTAAGTAATAAATGCGAGTTTCAAGCACCAATGATTGAAGGTCCTCCCGTTCTACTATTTTTAGTCTTACAAATGGCTTCCAGATTGAAGCGCCTTGATTGGAAGGCCTGTGGAGTCGTCGCCATTGATTGGCCGATTTCGAAAGGAAGCCATTTAAAAGTCACGACCACACTGCTTCATAAAAAATTGAGTGGCTTCCGAATTGATTCACGACCAGCTTGATTTTGAGTCGGGAACATTGTTAAACAACTGCATTCACTATTGTATACTGTACAATGCTTTGTTCTCTTTCCTTTCTGGATGTGAAGGGGTAATTCAAATTGTAATGTTTGGGGTTTTTCAATCTCAGCTGGAAGTTAGTTTTGTTATAGTTAAAACTAGAATTTCTCTGTTTTCTGTCGTAATTCCACAAAATGAATAGAATACAAATGTCAAATATCATCTTCTATCGCTTGTTATATTTGCATCTGTCTTGTGGCGTGCTTGAACATCTTAGTCAAACTTCTTCAGTACCTGACATTTCGTATTGGACCATAATACTGCAAACAGATTTTTCACCAAGAATTGAAGTTCATGATCTTTAAAGTGACATATAAGTTTCTTTTTGTGTGTGTGTGTGTGTGGTTTTTTTTTGTTTTGTTTTTTTTCGTTTTTTGTTTTTTGTTTTTTGTTTTTTGTTGTTGTTTTTTTTTTTATCGGTTTT